GTAGCCACCTCCCCCCTGGAGGCCGAGCCGGACCACATCGCGGGACCCTCGAACAAACCTCTGCTCCAGCCCATAGGGCGGAATGATGTGTTCGTTGACGACTTCATCCAACCAGGCAAAGGAGGAAAGACCCGTATGAAAGCGCTACGCGGGCACTTGCTCCATGCCATCAACGAGATCTTCGCACGCCCAAACCTCAGCGAGAAACACCGCAATGAGGCAGTCTCGCTCAAGAAACTCCTGCAAAGTGATGGAAGCTTGGCTACTCGAAAGCTCATCCTTGGATGGATCATTGACACCATGCGACAGACTCTGGAACTTCCTCCACCGGAAGCAACGCTCTGCTGACATCTTTAAGGAATTAGCCGGGTGTTGCAGGGTCAGCCACAAGCGTTGGATGCAATTCCTCGGCAAGTTGCGCTTCGTCTCTGTTGCCATCCGGGGTTTCGCTGGACTCTTCAGCGCACTCCAGCCCGCCCTCACGAAGTCCAAAGGAGGAAGAATCCGGATCAAAACCGCATTGAGATCCCACATCGATGCTTTTGCTGATCTGGCTGCCACCCTCTGCCACCGCCCAACACACCTGGCTGAGATCGTCCCCCAGGACCCATCCTTCTTCGGAGCCACTGACGCCGCCAAGGCTGGAATGGGCGGTTTCTACTTTGACTCTGAGGAAAATCCTTACCTCTGGAGGCTCCAATTCCCTCCCGATGTGCAAGCTCAGCTCGTGTCCACGAACAACCCAAAGGGATCCGTCACCAACAGTGACCTCGAGCAAGCAGCCATCCTTGCGCATCACTCCTTGCAAGCAGCGTGGCACTGCGTGACCTACGCCACCCTCTACTCTCTCTCGGACAACACCCGGGCCGTCTCCCGAGTCTCAAAAGGGGCGGTCACCTCCGATGGCCTGCGGCGTTCCTGTGCAACTACGCTTGCCGCCACCGCGGCACTGCTACTGCGCCCTCTCGTCCTCCATCCCGGGTCCTGCCAACGTGATGGCTGATGATGCATCGCGCCTGCAACACCTCAACCTGCCTGAACTTCTCGCACACTTTGAACAGCGCTATCAGCAGAACAGACCCTGGCAGGTGTTGACTCTGCCAACCGAGGTCAGTTCACAGTTGATCTCCGCCTTCCGCTGCACACCGCTTCCAAAAACATTATCTCCAAGACGGCCGCCGCCCGGGACAGGACCTTCGGACGATGGTGTTACTTCTGCGCAGGCCTCGGCGTCAAACCATCCCTCTGTGATATCCCTGACCAAGAGGTCAAGCCTGCTACCTCCTTGTCTTCGGAAAACGTTACCGCGAGTCTAACAACGTCCGAGCTGACTCAGTGAACAAGGCCCTTCTTGCCGCCGGGAAGGGGATCACCGAACTGGGTCACCCGGATCCCCGGAAGCTCAAGGCTGGATCCGACCACAACCATCCATTACTCGCTGCTTTCTCAAAGGACTCAGGATGAAGATGGACCCCTGACCGCCCTACCCGTCAACCTCTCCATCCTCACGAGCTATGCTCGATGCCCTGGACTAACGACGAGCCACCTGGGGAACCCTCAACCGCCACGTCCGGACCTCTGCATCCTGGCCTTCTTCTGGCTCCTACGCCCTGCGAAGTACCTGGATACCGGGAACCTTGAATCCCGAAGCCAAGCTTTCGCCTCTGTGATGTCTCCTTCACTGTCCGCGGCAGCCTCCAAGTCCGCGGAGACACCATCTCTTTGAATGAAATGAAAAACCACGCGTGCCTCACCGATGCCACGTTTTACGTTCACTGACCAAAAGAATGCTGTCCGCGGCGAGTCCGTGGGCCACCGCCCGACCTCTGATCCGTGGCTTTGCCCGGTGACGTCCCTCGCGCGTGTGGTCTACCACCTCCGTACCAACGGCGCCGACGCCGATACTCCCCTCTTCAACCACTTCAATGCGGCCCGCAACCGGTGGTATCCTGTGAAGCCCCAGTTCATCACCAACGCCCTCCGCCACGCTGCGGCCCTCATGTCCCCACGACACCGGCATCAACCCTGACAAGGTCTCTGCCCACTCCCTCCGTCCTGGTGGTGCCACAGCCCTTCTCTGCGCCATGTGGACTCGGATGCCATCCGCCTTCTCGGCCGCTGGAAGTCCGACGCCATGCTCCGCTACCTGCGCATCCAAGCCGCTGCCGCCACCCACCACTACTCCCAACAGATGTTGGACCATGGGGCGTACAACTTCCCGGGAGGCACCTACGATCGCCACCTCCTCCCGGCACAAGCGCCCCAACACTTCAACGAGATTCTTCTCCACGAAGAACTCTACGAGGACTAACCTACCCTAGTCCTCGGCCCCCTGTCCTCGCCTCCACCTGGACAGGGGGTAACTTCTCCCACCCCGCTACGCTCCCTCCCTGTTCTGCCTTTGGCTTTTGGGTTGCACGACTCAAGGCTGTCCCGTGGAACATCACATTCCCGGAACTCCCTTTTGCCGTGTGGGATCCATCCGGGACTCCCCAGTCCCGAATGGTACCCCGGGGACTGGAGACGGTCGGCTCAGTAAATGGCCGAGTCTCTCCACTCACCTAATCCTCTACTAGTCGTGTCTAGCTGCTCTGGGCGAGCGCAGCTTGTCTGCGCTCGGTGTTGAGCAGCAACACGCCTGGGGAACCCCCCGTCCGAGTTTCCACGCCCCGCAGCATGGAAACTTGAACCCTGATGGGTTCTCGCAACTATGACCCTAATCATGGTTGCCGAGAGGACCATCTCACAATTTGCAAAATTAATTCCCGCGCTCCTCACCTACAACTCAAGTACATCTCTACATCTCGCAGGTCATCACCTGCGTTCCGGAAATGGATACCCCACATGATGATGCACCGCATCAGCTCCTCAATGCCTCTCGAACAAGATTACCCTTAAGGCAACGACGCCCGTCCAAGACCACATTTGGCAAGATCGACAGCGGCAACCATGAATCACTAAAGCCAGCGACCTAGCCAAGATCAGCCATTGAACTGCCGATCGCAAGAAGGTTGTCTCTCTCTCAGCTCACAATTCTTCATTCAGCCGATGCTGAAGGCAAGAACCTAGATTAGATTAACCCACCTCCCTCCCTGGTTGCACGACTCAAGGCTGTCCCGTGGAACATCACATTCCCGGAACTCCCTTTTGCCGTGTGGGATCCATCCGGGACTCCCCAGTCCCGAATGGTACCCCGGGGACTGGAGACGGTCGGCTCAGTAAATGGCCGAGCTCTCCACCACCCTACACTCCTCTTACTATCGTTACTGGTACAGGTACCGTACCGTTACATTGCGCTATCCGAGACAACAGTGTCAGAAAAATGAGGGTTAAGTCCCTTTTCGCAGGAGTCACGGATACATTGAGTAACAAACTTGCTGACCAATGCTGCCCATGGTGACGGACAGACTGACGAGAGCAAGAAGAAGCAAACCAGCACAACAAACGAACAAAACAACAGAACAGCAACAAAGCGCAAGTCGAATGCCTAACTTCTGCTTACAGTACGACCTCCGCAGTAACAGTGGCAACGTCAACGGCTTCATCGCCAAAGAGTCTATGAGTCCATCGACCGCTATCTCCTACAGCGAGGCTTCCAATGATACCAACACTCATGCTCGCATATGGAAGGGCAATGCAGAGCAAATGCCTTCCACAGTATCCACTACGAGCAGCGCTACAATTTCGTCTGAGTCCGAAAATAAGGGTGGCGACTACATTCGCGATCTCAGTTTCCCACATGTGTTTGAGAAGAACGAGATCCACAAAGCATTGTTGGAATGCATGCGTCAAGGAGAAAAATGGCAGCTTGATTTGGAACGTGTCCACGGATTTACCGAGGCAGAGTCCTGCGAAGGTTTCAGCCGCACAGGAAAGTATCTCTATTGCGACGAGTTTCCAGAGGATGCTGTGAACAAAAAGCTGTTTCCGCATGCCAAGGAGGGGTGGATCCTCCTGAAAGAGACGGATTGCATGGGCCGAAATTACCCGAAGGAGCTCATAGACTTGGACAGCCTTGTGGCGATCAATGGCAAGTGTTTTGGCGAATTCTGATGCTGAGATTGAATGATGATGAATGGTGGAGCACATTGGGTTCGCGGTCTGCCACTAACAAGGGGAGGTTTACTATAGAGCATTCATTACAAACAAGATTTTTGCAAGTGGGATTTTCCCGCAAATATGGAGTATGATTCCATCAACCCGAGAACTCCGCCATGTGACTAGCAACAACACACCCAAAATGGCGCTACAACAAAGTCTCCAGCTCCTTAACCACCGGACCGAACTGTATCCAGTTTATGGAATATCTTCCAGCAACTATGATGGACACACTGCTGAACGTAGATACATTTCGCTCATCATACAAAGGCAAACAATGGTCTTGTTGTCTGCAGTAATTTTGCTTGATTTGGCTTCGTTTTGCACGGTGTTGATGGACCAACCTGTACTAGTTACGGGAAAAGCTGAAATGCTACAGAAATGGATATCTCCACAACTGTCAGTCCAAATCTTGTGCTTCTTGCAGTCTTCCCCTTCCAATATACATATAAGAGAAGGATAGCAGAAGTTATATTGGCCAGTAGTAGTGGTCTTGACGCCCAACAAGTCAGGATGATGAATCGACCCCAAAATGGCCCCTTTTCAGAAAGCTTAAGCTAGCAACTAGCAGATAGATGTCACAGCCAAGACAAGGGTATGACTGGAAAGAGGAGAAAGAGTAGATAGCTGTAGAGTATTCACTTGTTGTCTAGCTATGAACGGTTATTGATATATGGGCAAGTCAAGTTGTCCTGGTGATTGAGGCAGTGGTGTTGATTTTTTGTGAAAAAGTGCTAGTAATTCACCATAGTTGGGTGAGGAAAATTTTTTAAGTCCAAAAATACCCAGTGACACTGGTTGTGCAGTTACCACGGTAATCGGTTAAATGCATGCTATTAAATAGAATTCCTAACTGCATCATCCCGGAATTAGAGCCGAAGTTGTGTACATGTAGAGCCAAGGAAGCAAGGAAGTAGAGCCATAGAGCCGAAGTTGCCTACTAGAGCCAAGGAAGTAGAGCCATAGAGCCAAGGTCCATTTCTAGTACCAGATTCGATTCTACGCAACTTCTACGAAGAGACGAGGTGAGGGATAATACTGACCCTCACCTCGTCTGATTAAATAATTTGAGTCATGTTTAATCAATCCCGGTTGTCAACATAAACCAGTGAGTAGGTGAAGCTTGACGGTGTGCCATTTTAGTCAAGCTCCGTGGCACAACTACATTCTTCTTCATCATCGTCGCCCGACTCCTAACAAGAGTAGCAGCAGCAGGGTGCGGAAATGGGACTTAAATCAACAAGTCTGCATGAAACTAACGGTTCTGGCCGTTAGTTTCACGCAGTGTTTCACGCAGTTTTCGCGTGAAACTAGTACTTAGTTTCACGCAGGTCTGCGTGAAACTAGCCATTTCTTGCTAGTTTCACGCAGCAAAACGGCTAGTTTCACGCAAGCTTCACTAGTGATTACTATGGATAGATTGATAGTTTCACACACGACTGAACATAGTTTCACGCAAGCCGTGTACTAGTTTCACGCGCTCGAAACTAATGTCTAGTTTCACGCAGGCCTGCGTGAAACTAAGCGTTTTCCTGCGTGAAACTAACTAACTAGTTTCACGTAGCTTGCCTTTAAATAACAGTTCTCCGTTTCCGCACCCTGCAGAGAACGGAAGATAGATGATTGAGCGATTCTTCATCGTAGCCTATAAGTTACTTTTTATAGTTGTTGAAGGTGAAGCACCAGTCTTTTTTGGGTTGATTGTGCTGTGGGAGCCATTTTATGAGAAGAACGCTACGAGGTGTAGAGCCATGGTGGAGGGTAGGTTGCTCTAACTTGGTGCCTAACTTCATGCCACATACAACATTTTCATCCATGCTTAAGCATAATGGGGAGCCGAGTTCATTGATTCTAAATATCTGGCTGCTACTCTTCTACGGGATGGCTACTGGACTTTTGTCATTCACTGTCTATGAAATGACTACATGCGGCGACATTATTATTTTTATATCGCATTCCTTGAATGCCGGATCTATGAAGCTTTTATATCGCATTCCTTGAATGCTGGATCTCTGAAGCTTTTAATTCGCACGGTGCAGTGCGGTGCGATGTGGTGCGCAGGTACAAAAATCGTCAACGAAAATTCTTTGCAAAGTACTAAAAGACTGTCCACTGATAATTCTGAAGTAATACTAATACAACACTAAAGTGTTCGGGGGAAGTGTTCAGGAGAAGAGCAGTGTTTGAGAGAAGTGAAACCAAATTTGCAGAGGAATGCGATTCTCACCTTGCTTTTTGAATTCGTACGGTGCGGTACGGTACGGTGCGGTATGGTATGGTATGGGGGTTAAATTACTCATTTAGCTTAACAAGCTATTGGCCATGGAGTGACTTTATTGACGCGGGCAAGTGGTGGGGGAGATCCCCACCTAGCTGAGTCATCATCTACTTTGTTTGCCCAATCAACATGACCTCATCCACTGGCCCAACGTGGAGCCAGCACCAAGTAGACAGATGCCCTGGGTAGGGGGGTGAGCACATTGATAGGGAACCTGAAGCGCAAAACCTGGGTTACAGGGGCTTACACATGATTTTGTCGGTATTGAAACCATTATCACCAAAGGGGCAGTGAGGGCCAGATAGATTGCCAGACCAAAGAGTGCTCGCCAGTAAGTGTGTCTGGGTGATCAGGTCCCAAGCTGTGGCAAGTGCCTTGGCATGCAAGGCAAGATGCCAGCAGAGCCCGTAGGAGGTGGTACTCCTCAGGCTGGACCAGAGCAGGGTGTAACCCATCCAATGCACAAAAATTGTTAGATAGAGGCCAACAAGCAGGCAAAAGATGGGGTCAAATGACACACTGGCAGTCTGTGGTTCCCAGGAGGGAGGCACAGTGGCTGCTGGATTGTTGTGGGCTGTTCGAGGGGTTGTTGAGTCAATAGAAGGAGGATAAGGGGGCACTGGGAGTGGGCTGGTGCCAGGGGCAGGAGGGGAGATCCTGTTGGTGTTGGAGTGTTGTTGTAGGAGTTAGGAGGTGGCATGGTTGATGGTGTGTTGTAGGATAGAGCCGTGTCTCTGTTCAAGGGTGAGAACAAAGGCATCCTTCCTGATAGGGTAGGGTGTGATTCGGAAGGGTGTGATCCTCAAGATGGCTGCATTCTCGAGGAGCTGTTGGCTGATCATCTGGGGAGTGGTGTTGTGTAGTCTGCGGAGGATGGTGGATGTGGTTGGTTGGGTGAAGTGTGGGAGTGGGGGGATGTCTGGAAGGACCTTGGGTTTGAGTGTAGTTGTGGGTAGACATGGGGAAGTCATGGTGGGTGGTAGTTGGATTGGTGGGAGAGTTGTGTATCCTGGAGTGTTGACTGTAGTGTCGTTGCTTCAACTCAAGCAATGGAGGTTGCTTGTGAGGTGGCGAGAGGATTGATAGAGGGGTTTATTCAAGGGGCAATGCACTGAGGCACTGGTAATCAAGGTTTATATCAAGTTGTTGGGTTGTTGTTGCCACTGGATCAAAGGCTGTGGCCAAGTCTGGTGCAGGTATACCACTACCTGCAGGAGAAGATGGTATCAGAGCCAAAGGCTGTTAGGGATTCTTTCGGGGAGAACTGGAGAAGTCACGCTATAGCCAGTAGAGGCAGTGGTGGGGGTATCAATGGGTGTTGTTGGTTGATGGGGCTGTGTTACTGGATGACACTGTGTTGTCTCAAAGGCTGGTACTCAATCTGTTGTAGGGTCAGACATGCAACAGAGAGTCAAGCCAAGATGTGGAGGGTACTCGATTCAGGTGGAACTGGGGAAAGTCACTTGAGAGTCACTCAACAATCAATGAGAGAGAGAGAGAGAGTCAGTTATGTATGAATATCTATGCCACACCACGCTGCAGTTCTGTCTGGGGCTCAATCCTTTGGAGCTCCACACTCAGTAGAAGAGTCAGGTGCAGTAGCAGAGAGGTGGCTGTGTCAATGAAGTGTTGCACAATCTAGAAGAATACACACTAGAGGGGCAGCTTTTGTAGTTTGTTCTTGTGGGGGTGAGATCCTTTGGAGAGGAGCTGGGTATCTCAGGGAGGGGCTGTCAAAACTCTAAAAATGCAGCCAAGCCTGGAGATACGCAAGGACTCAAGTCCTTACAGGAACTCTGTTGTTGTTTGTTGTTCCTCTGGGAGAGGAGTTAGATATCAATGTAGGAGTGGTAACAGTAGCAGGTGTGGATCAGTCAATCAGTCTGTATAGGGATAGGACTGGTTGGATCAGTAGGATCAAGTTCCAACAAGGACGTCGGGGGAAACCCAGAGTGGCCGGTGAGAAAGTAAGAAATACAGCTGTGTTTCTGTTCTCGATGGTCACTGCAGGTATCTCGTGAAGTCCTTTTTGATGATAGTAGGCTTCGTACGGAGGATAGATTCACGGAGTAGCGAGTCTTGGATTCGATTCGATTACCAGGTATAATCGATTCGAATCGGAGGATTTCACGTCTCGGATGGGTCAGTTGCCTTAGGGATAAGGTTAACCGAGCCTGTTGTTGCGGAGGATTCGATCGTACGAAAAAGAAAAGGGGGCGACAATGGGATTTCGTCGGCCGTCAGGAGCGGAGTTCAGAAAACAACAAATACGTATGGGAATTGTTTTTTGTACTGTGCTGGGGAAGACCGTAGATTTCTTCTTGTGTTCAATTTCTTCCAACTTGGTCGTCGGCGGTCGAGAAAAGAAAACCTGCCCGATCTCGTAGGATTTCAATTGGGATGGCTTTCGAATCTGGACCGGGGAACACCGCGTTGATAGTCGCTTGATAGGAGAGGTGCACAGGAGATAGGAGGTATCGATCCTGTCGACTGGAGGGGCTTGAATGAGGGATAAAGAGAGGAAAAGGGAGTGTGTTTCCTGTGATGACGTTGAGCGGATTCCTATAGTAAAACAGTACTCTTCAACAAGATAACAGAAAACAGGCTTCCTGAGGTCCGTTCGCTTCGTTTCAATGCTTCTAATGGTGCTAATAGGTAGTGTAATGGTATAGGTATG